TGAATACATCCTGCATATCAGGATTTACATTACAATTCATAACAGTAGCAAAATTACAATATGAAAATGATTTTATGGTAGGGGGTCACCAGAACATGAGGAACTGTATTAAAGGGTCACGGCATTAGGAAGGTTGGAACCACTGGGTTAGAGGAGCTGTGGCTGTGTATCCAGGGGTTGGGGCTTGTCTGGGATGAGGTAATAAACCTCTCCCTTAGGGAGGCAGGGAAGTGGCTTTTTTGACAGAGTGAGACTGTCTCACACACGCACAAAAAAGCACCTATAGTCACCGCTTGTTTAGAGACTGCCCCTCACTGGAAGGTTCTTTGGGTGCTGGGCGCTGGGTCTGTTGATGGGGTGGGCTGGGGGCCTCAGCAGGCTAAGGCAGGGCAGGGCGTGAGTCATGGTTATTGCTGTGTGCCCTCCCGAACTGACCCGGGGCATGACCACTTGGGCCTGCCTTCTCCGCCCAGGCGTAGCCCCTAGCGTCCTTCTTGGTTTCCAGGTCCCCTCAGAGCCCCAGGCCCTGAGGGTGGGGTTTGTGAGTGTGCCGTTCCTGCCCTCACCTGCAGAGCTGCACAGAGTAGGTGGTCCTCCTGCTGGGGACTGTGGTTAGGAGCTGGGCTGAAGCCACGCTCCTCCCTGTCATTCTGCATGTCATTCCTTTAAGCAGCGTCCCCTTCTGCCTTGTTCCCTTCCTGTTGTTGGCTACAGAAGGCCCCACCTATCATGTGGGGCCCCATAAACCCACTGCAACATGGGAAAGCCTAAGTCGACCATTGCAAGTCGGGGCTGTCTACACTTTAGTGTTTTGGGGTCACCCCCATTCTCTTCTCATCTTCCCCTACCTACGTTTACCCTCTCCTATTTTTTTTTTTTTTTGTCCTTTTTAGCTTCTCTAGAATCATGTACCAAACTGTGAAGGAACTGTCACCAAAGTGTAACGTGTCCTTCCTCCTATCTGAGGACGGCAGTGGCAAGGGGGCTGCCCTCATCACGGCCGTGGGCGTGCGGTTACGCGGAGACATGAGCAGCTAAGAGCCCAGGACCCCCAGCCTGCTGCCCCTACAGCACTTCTCTCTTTGAGTGGCGACCCCCGCCCCTCCCAGTGAGCTGTGTGTGCTGGGAGATGCTGGCACCTGAGCCCGCCATGGCCACAGTGGTGAGGAAAACAAAATCCAACTAATGGCGCATAATATAGGGTACAAAATAGTGTGTGCTGTTGATAATATCTCTCACCTGGGTCCTCCTCACCTGCCCTGCCACTGTGCATGATTTGATTTCCACCCAGTCCCCATGAGTGACGTGTCGTGGCTTCCATTTCTACTGTATGCATTCATCCAGCGGAGTTATTTATTGGCACGAGATGGACAGTCACACCACCTGCCAGGCCTTCTGGGCCTCCAAAGCCCGTCCTTGGGGTCAATCCTTCTCTTCCTGAGTGAAATGTATTATCACCAGCAGACACTGCCGGGACCCCTCTCCAGGGGCATGGCCTGAGGGCGAGTGTGGACATAGCATTAGCCGCTTCCTCCCGTCCCAGCACCCACTGCGGCCTGGCGTCCCACTGGGATATGGCATTGCCACTGAATCGTGTGTCCATGGAACCAGTCCTAGCCACGTGTGACGGTCTTGCATTCTGTTTGTCTCGTGGGGGGAGGTGGGCAATCCTGCGGGAAAATGTTTGTCTTCATTTGGGTAAAAGGAACCAATCCACAATCTATGCCATCACCAGAACTTCCCATCGCTTTTGTGAGCCATGTTGTATGACCTAGTAAACTTTGTACCAATTCAAAGACCTGAGTGGTGCTTTGTAGTGGGGCAGGGGGAGGCTATCGTAGGACATGGTGAAAACCACAAACCCTGTGTGTTCTTGGAGCCTCCTGGGTGGGGAGAGAGTTTAAAATAAAGATGATGGTCTTCAGCCCCACAGCCTTAGTTTGGCATGAGGACTTCCATGCCCTTCCTATAGAAGGTCACAGAAGTACCCTCTTGCTGCATCTCCCAGTGCCTATCCGGCCAGGTCCTTATGCATCCCAGGGTCCCACCCCATGGAGGGCCTCCTGCAACTTCCACCCCAGCACCTTTAAGAGGGTAAAGAATGTAAGGACTCACTCATAGTTGGAACACAGAAAAAGAAAAAGCCGCTTTGGGGTTCTATGAGAGAACACTGCAACATAGGGCCCCCCTGTGCCAACCTGAAGCCAGGTGATGAAACGTGCCCCCTGCCCTGATGCAGGTCACATCTTGAAGCACCCAGGGTAGTAGGCTTGCTATACCCACCCTCTCCCTGATCTTAAACTGACTCCTTTTACCATCTCCACCCCCACCTCAAGATTGTTGGCTCTCTCCTATATGCTGTCTCCTATTTGGGGTCTTCCCTAGCTCTTTGGTGGACCCCATGTCTGTCTGCATCCAGGCCCTCTTGAGATGTCCCAAGCCATGACCACAGCTCTGGATGAGTGAGCTAGATCAGAGTCCCTTCATTTGGGCACGGTGGCATTAATATCTGGCACAGTAGTTTTTGTGGCGAACACAGATATTAAACTTTTGATGTGAATAGACAGTGTTTATGTGGTTCTTCTGGAGGGGCTCTGGGTGTGCAGGGTGTTAGCAGGCAAGGAGAGGTGCTCTCTCGGTGTGGACTGGGCCAGGCCTGGAGCCTTCTGGGAGTTGGAACCACGGGTGTTCTCTGTCTACCAGCTTGCTGCAAAAGTGAGGGTGGGAGCTATGTTACTAACTTGTAGGTGGCTTTTGTGAAAAATGCCTGTGTAGTAATGAAAGTCATTTATTGAACACTTACTTAATCTGGTCTGCTGGCTGGTTTATAGATGTCACTTCTTTTTTTTTTTTTTTTAATTTTTTAGAGACAAGTCTCACTATTTCACCCTTGATAGAGTGCTTTGGTGTCACAGCTCACAGCAACCTCAGACTCTTGGGCTTAAGCAATTCTTTTGCCTCCGCCTCCCAAGGTGCCTGCCACAACACCCAGCTGTTTTTTGGTTGTAGATGTCATTGGCAGGCCTGGACTGGATTTGAACCTGCCAGCTCTGGTGTAAGTCGCTGGCGCCCTAGCCACAGAGCTACGGGCGCCGAGCCTATAGATGTCACTTCTGTTGATCCCCACAGCATCCCTGTGAAGTGATTTTGACAATGGGATGAGGAAGAGGCTGAGGGTCAGAGTGATTTGCCTAAGGAAACATAGCTGACTCTTTTGGCTCTTACAATCTACATTGGGCTGTATCAGACTTCTCAGGTGTTGAAACAGAGAAGCCCTGGGTTGACTCAGCTACAGAGCTTATGAAATACAAAGCTTATCTTTTGCCTGATAACAAATCAGTGCCATGGTTTCCTACTGCCCACAGATGTGTTTTGTTTGGCTTACCTAAAGTTTATTACAAGAATGCAAGCCAAATTTAACAAATCAGGTGGTCTTACATACAAATTTGTATTAGCAGCCTTTTTTGAAAGATTTAGAAGATCTAGTAACAGTGGGCTGCCATTACCATGTGGCAGCATTTGTTCAGAGTTGAGCAGTTTCTGTCCCCTTTGGATACCTGTCCCCTCCAGTTTGCCACAGTCCCCACCATTCCCTATTACCTCAGCACAGAGGCTGGAAGTTAGTTGCTTTCTATCCATTTGCGGTTTTTCTTTTATACTGGATCCATTGAAAGTTATATGCCCTAGGAAGGCATTTGAGCTTGCAAGTCCTAGACTAGATTAGGAAAATACTAGTTCATACTGTCTTTTCTGATTTTTTTTTTTTTAATGTGACAAGACAGTTTATTGACAGGGAGAAAGATTGATAAGCATGATAAGCAAAAGAAAGTGAACAGAAGAGGAGAAACAGAGCCTCTGGCAGCAGAGGGGAGAATCCAAGTGGGAAGCTCCTTGTCTTTTCTGATTCTTTTTTTTTTTTTTGTGAGACAGAGCCTCAATGTCTCAATCTGTCACCCTGGGTAGAGTGCTGTGGCATCACAGCTCACAGCAACCTCAAACTCCTGGGCTCGAGCGAGTCTCCTGCCTCCGCTTCCCAAGTAGCTGGGATTACAAGCGCCCGCCACAACGCCCGGCTGTTTTTTGGTTGCAGCTGTCATTGTTGTTGGTGGGCCCAGGCTGGATTCAAACCCACAACCTTAAGTATATGTGGCTGGCACCCCAGCTGCTTGAGCCACAGGTGCTGAGCTGTCTTTTCTGATTCTTGTTGGTGGCTGAGTCCTCCTAAAGTCCCTGGCCTAATTTTGTTTTTTTTTTTCAGTGGTGTACTGAAGGGTGGGGCATGGGTCAAACCTTCAGATCTGGTCCTCTCAATTGACTGCTTGTTAAAGGGTGCTAAACCTCACCTTACAGCCAGCTACAAGGCTTCAGGGTTCAGTTAGCACCTGTCTTAGTTCATTTTTATGTTGCTGTGACAGGTTACCTGAGACTGGGTAGTTTATACAGAATAAAGGTTTATTTGGCTTATGATCTTGGCGGCTGGGCAACCCAGAATTGGATGGCTGTGCCTGGTGAGGGCCTCAGGATGCTTCCACTCACGGCAGGAGTGGAAGGGGAGTGGGCATTGCAGAGAGATCACATGGTGAGAGAGGAGACAGAGGGGACCGGATGGAGCCAGACTACTATCTGGGAAAGTCCATTCCCACAAGAGCAAGAATTCACTTAATGCTGCAGGGCATTAATCTATTCTTGAGGGATCTGCCCTGTGATCTGACACCTCCCAACACTGCCACTTGGGGGCAGTGCTTGTGGCTTAGTGAATAGGGCGCCAGCCCCATATACCAAGGGTGGCAAGTTCAAACCCGGCCAAACTGCAACAACAACAAAAATAGACGGACATTGTGGTGGGCGCCTGTAGTCCCAACTACTCCGGAGGGTGAGGCAAGAGAATCCCCTAAGCCCAAGAACTGGAGGTTGCTGTGAGCTGAGATGCCACAGCACTCTACCAAGGGTGACAAAGCGAGACTGTCTCTAAAAACAAAAAAACACTGCCACTTGGGGGATTAAGTTTCAACATGAGTTTTGGTGGGGGCAAACCATCCATGTCCAAACCACAGCACTGTCCCATCTTGGGAACCCCCAGCCTCATCGTTGGTAGCTTCGGAGGGGGCGACATCCCCAGCCATGAACAGAGTCTCTTTAGTGTGACACCTGTTGACCCTCGTGGAGAGGGATGGAGTGTGAGTCAGCTCAAGTTTGTCTTCCTCCGTTGGTGTGACCCATGGGCAGCAACGGAAAGCAAGCCGGAATCCAGAGCGAAACCTGGGGGATGGAGGGTCACCTTGAACAAGGGAGTTAGGGCCCGTGGGCTGTCATGTAGCTGCCTCCGCCCCCAGGGCACCTTCTGCTGCTTTGAAGAGCCCACCAGGAGAGCTTCATTCTTAAGTGAATTTGATTTTTGGAAATAGCAAAAGTATTCTGCCTAAACTGAATTAGGCCATTTGTTTCTATTTTTTTTAAAAAGGAAAAGAAACCAAGTATAAACAGCTGATTTTCTTGTTTGACTTACTAACTGGCTTCTGAAGGCATGTTCAAAGAGGGGTCTGTTTCAAAACATTGGGGCTTTAAGAACGTTGGTGGACTAAGGGAACCATCCCACGGTAACTACTCTGAAAGAAGAATTGCATGCGGAGCTGCCAAGTTGTGGTACAATTTGCTTAAAAAATGAACAGCCTCCCACAGCCCTGAGGGTCTGCGTGTGAGCTGGAGGTGAGGCGGCACACACAGCGAGTGAGGAAATGGGTCAGTAGAAAGAAAACACTGGTTGCTCAGAGACAGGGAGAAATAAATGAGACCCTGTGCAAACCCAGAGAGAAGGAATCACATTGTCTCTTCCTGGGCGATGTTTCAGAAGAGCCCGCCTTACTTTGAATTTGTGCCCTGTAGCTCCACAGGACCCGGGGATGTGGCCCATCAGGTTGGTATTTGTGGACTCAGTGGCCTCTGTACCTTATGCCTGTGTTTAACCTGTCCCAACCCAAACTCCTAGTCATCCTCCCCTCCCCCAGCCAGCACAGCCCCTCCCCTGCAGCCTTCCCCATCTCAGCTCCTGTTCAGGATAGGAACCTGTCCTACTCAGCCTTGACTTCTCAGCGTGCCACCTCCCTTCCATCAGTCTACTGTAGCCACCAGACTCCGCCACAGTCTAAATGGCCTCTTCCCTGGATTACTGTAGGGGCCTCCCGGAAGCCATCTCCCTCCTGGCTACTCACCTGGCCCCCTATAGGCTAGCTCCCAAAGCTGCTGGACTGATTCCTTTGAAAGGTAATTCAGAGCCTGCAGTGGCTTCCCACATCAGAGGATAAGCCCAAGTCCTCACCTTGACCACAGTCTGCTGCTTTAGCTGTTGCCTCTGCCTGGAACTCTTGCCCAGATTGAACAGGGCTGGCTCAGTCCTTCAAGTCTTTGTTTAAAGGTAAAACTGCACCGCCTGTGCCTATCATCTACGTCCCATGGCACTTCCTCACTCAGGTCTAGTTTTTCTTGCTTCCTTAGCCCGATCACCTATCACACCCCATGGTTCGCTTACTCACTGTGTTATTTATCATCTGCAACACCTTCCCCCTCCCCCCAAATGTCAGCTCTCCCAGGGAAAGCATCTGTGGCCTTGCTCATTGGTGTATCCCTGTGCCTGGGACAAGGCTGGGCACACATAGCCACTTGGTGAACATTCTCAGAATGAGTGACAGGTCCCACCAGGAGCACTAGTCCTATCTTAGAACAGAAGCATCAAGGACTGAATGACTCAGAAGTGATTCCAGGACCTTGTGGAGCCCTGGGGTGTCCTTGTGTAGCAGGAGGGTGACCAACGTGCAGGCACAGTGGGCTGTGGGCCATCCCTGATGGGACAGTCCCTATCTCCCAAGTCCTCGTTCTTCCTGGTCTTATGAAAGAGGAATGCGTGTTGTGGAGATGGGAATACAGGCCTCACAGCCGTAGAATCCTGTTTTTGTTTGCTGTGTGAGTTTAGGAGAATTTCCTTCTGAGGCCTCAGTGTCCTCGGTAACACCTTGCTCTCTCCTATTATCTACTTACCTCTCAGGAGATGAAGGGTTTTGGCACCCAGTACCACAAAAATGATAGCTCCTCACTTCCTCTGGCCTGCCCCAGGTGGGTGGGGTGTTGGAACCACAAGACCCTAATGGCGTTATGAGTAGCCTGGACACTGGACCAGGGAGGTCCAGGGCCAGCCTCACCCATATCATCCTCTTGCTGTGCCCCTCTCATCTCTCCTTACCTGGCCCAACCTTAAGGGTTTTCTGAGGCTCGAAGGCCTGCTCTGCAGATAGGGCCACTGGGGGCTGCGGTTCCTGCTGGACTTACCACCTCCCAACTCTCCAATGCCCGCCCCCCTCTCTGGGACTTCCTCCAAAAGTGTAAGGGCCAAGGAATCCAGATGACATCAGAGGGAGGATGAGATCATGCCCCCTCCTCCTTGGCTGTCTCTGCCAAGGTCACTTCCAGCTGCCCTGGAAGCCTCTCAAGACAGGAAACACACTGTGACCCTCCCAGGGAGCAGCCTGCCTCACTTTAGAGCTGACCTAGCCTCCTAGGGGTGCTTCTCCTGTCCTCTTCAGTAGGAAGCTCATAAAAATTAGGACAAAAGAAAATTTTAAAAAATATATTAAGACAGTTCAGTCCCTCCCTTCCAAAAATTTAAAAAAATATGTTAAGACAGAGGTCAGTCCCTCCCTTCCTTACCAGGCTCTTTCTCTTACTCTCCCCTTCCCTCCATCTCTCTGGCCCTCCTTCCTATTCCAGATGTAGACCCAGAAGAGCCAGCAGAGCAGACAATGAGAGCAGTGGCTTGGGTGATGAGACAAGGGTTTAGGAGCAGATGGGGCTCAAGCTAGGCCCAGGCCAGAGGGAGGACTATGTTGTGGGCTGCATGACAGCTTTCCCTACTAGGGTGGGGTCATAAGGTAGAGGCTCAGGCAGAACTAGCTGGAGGCTTGGGTCCTGCAAGGGAGCTACCATAGGGCCAAGCTGTGGGGCTTGCGGGTGAGGCCTACCTGTGGTTGAGGCAGCAGTAGATGATGGGATTGTACATGGTGGAACTCATGGCCAACCAGAAGAGTGCCAGGTAGACCTGCTGGATGAACTTGTGGCAGTAGATGTCCTCCTGGAAGCTGCCCAGGATGAAGTAGAGGTGGTAGGGCAGCCAGCAGATGGCGAATGTCACCACCACCAGCACCATGGTCTTCACAAACTGGTTCAGGGGAGGCTCAGTCACTCCTCAGCCCCAGAACCCTAAGCCCCAACCCTTCGAGGGCAGGTGCAGGGTACCCCTGGTGCCAGCCTGGGAATCCCTCCACAGTCACACCCCCTCTTCCTCTCCCCACAGTTCCCTGGAGCATCCTGAGCAGCCCCCCCCAAGTCCTTTGCTCAGGTCCCCCTGCCCCTGCCCACACTGCTGTCCTTCATTTGAGGTCCTCACTCTTTGAAGCCCAACTCAGTGCACTTCTCCCAAAAGGTGTTTCAGATCCCTTTAGTCATAGCAGCTCTTCTCACCTGGAAAGTCACTGAACTCTTTACTCCTAACCCTGTCCTTATGGGAGCCCCCTGCCAGCTGAGTTCCCAGGTTGCCCTCTCTCTGGGATCTGTCTTCCACAGCCCTTCTATCTATTGGCAGTGGGGCTCCAGCCAGGGAACCCGGCCTCTACCCAGGGCCAGCTCTCAACCTTCTCCTCACAGCTGTCTTCTGCAGGCATACTCCTGCACCACCCAGGGGGCCATTACAAGAGGGCTGTGGGCTCCTAGTCACCAGGCTGCAGGGCCAGGGTTGAGAGTTCTAGTGTGGAGCAGACGAAAGGCAGGCCAGGGATGGCAAGTAGATGCCAGCTCTCCAGGAAGGAGGGACACTCAGACATCCCATGTCCAGATACCTAGCTGAACAGCCCTGTGAAAAATGCCTGATATCAGGTGAGAAGTCGTGACTTTGACCTGGTTATGATGGATGAGCCCATTACCACCCTGGTTGCCTAGCAGGAGGGCCATGGCAAAGATGAGTCTTGACTGGGGGAGGGTGCAGGTCTGGAGCACAGAATGCTTCCTCAGCACCTTGGGGCTGAAAGGGGGACCCTGGATGGCGGGAAGAAGGGAGGTCACTGGCACTTCAGAGAAATTGGAGACAGACTTGATGAATCTGGTACCACAGTCTGGTCTCCACAATCCCTGAGGTCCCTAATTCCAGCATTTGAGGACTCTCCTGTGATTCTATCTAGGTGCCTCCTGTAGTTCTGTGGGGCTTCTTAAATTCAACATTCTGATAATTCAAAAAGTCTAAGATTTTAACACTTTATTATTCTAAGATTCTTGGAGGTATCTGAATCTTTGTGGGGCCTTAAGAATCCCCTATTTACGTAAAATTCTGGGAAATTTCTTTAACTTCGTATTTGACCAAAGACCAAAAGCAAATCTACCTTCTGGAAGGAAAACAGACTCCGATCCCGGACTCGCACAAGGGCAAGTTCTGGGAGTCAGCCCCACCTGGCCCCTCCCACACCGCCCAGGTCCCGCCCCCACCTGCCCCAGGCCCCGCCCCTGACACGCACCTTTTTCTTGGCCCGCAGGTGGCGCAAGTTGGCACCGTGCGGCTGGTGTCCCGGCACTGCGTGCCTCCAGAGCGTGAAGCCGATGACACTATAGGCGACGAACATCACCGCCAGGGGCAGGAAGTAGATGAGGGCGATCACCATGAGGTGGTATCTGGAGGGAGAGCCAGGCGCCAGCGCAGTGGGCGGCCCGCGGGCGACTCCCTTGTCCCTGGAGCTGCCCCCTGCAGGCCCACCCTAGCCCACCTCCCAAGGCCTTGGTTTGATGTAAAGAAAACCAAAGGCGGTTAGGCGCCCTTAGCACAGTGGTTACCGGGCCGGCCACATACACCGAGGCTGACAGGCTCGAAACCCGCCCAGGCCGGTTAAACAACAATGACAACTGCAACAAAAAAGTAGCCAGGCATTGTGGCCAGTGCCTGTAGCTCCAGCTACTTGGGAGGCTGAGGCAAGAGAATCGCTTAGGGTCAAGAGTTGGAGGTTGCTGTGAGCTGTGACTTCACAGCACTCTACCGAGGGTGACATAGTGAAACTCTGTTTCAAAAAAAAAAAAAAAAGACAACATTGGCAGCATATATGCCAAAGGAGGCTTCCCAGCAAACGGGGCATCAACATTAGCACTGCGTCTTTCCATGTGTTAGAGGTGTACCAAAAAAGCAAATAAACGGGAAGTAAAAAAGTTCACCAAATAATGCATTTGTTTAAAATACCATTAAAGGCGCCTATAGCTCAACCGGCTAAGGCGCCAGCCACGTACACCTAAGGTGGCGGGTTCGAATCCCCAGCCCGGACCCGCCAAACAACAATGACGACTGCAACCAAAAAATAGCCGGGCGTTGTGGCGGGCGCCTGTGGTCCCAGCTACTTGGGAGGCGGAGGCAGGAGACTCGCTTGAGCCCAGGAGTTGGAGGTTGCTGTGAGCTGTAATGCCACGGCACTCTACCCAGGGGGACAGCTTGAGGCTCTGTCTCAAAAAAATAAAAAAAAAATAAAAAATAAATAAAATAAAATACCATTAAACACAAAGCAGAAAACAAAATTACTTATCTCACTCCCACAAATTTGGCATATTTTCTTCCAGAAGCATGTAGGAACAGTAGCCACCCCTTATCTGGATTACATTCCCCTCAACTCCCCCATTCAGTTATCCCAGGCCAACGATGTTCGCAAAATAGGTGAGTACAGTACAATAAGAGATTCTGAGAAAGACAGAGACTACACTCACATAACTATTATTACAGCAATTGTTACAATTCTTTTAGTATTAGTTACTGTTGTTCATCTCTCACTGTGTCTAATTTATAAATTAAATTTTAGCTTTGGTATGTATGTAAAGAGAAAAAAGTATTAAATATATACAGGGTTTGGTGCTATCAGAAGTTTCAGGCATCCTGTGGGGTGGTCTTGTGTATGTTACGTGTGTACATATATTTATCAGATAGATTTTTACATATAATGTGTATCTTCCTGAGTGGATAGACAGAATTACAGCAGTTAGTAAACTCAATCCTGTGCTAACATCCCCATTGAGGAATGGGGCAATGGAAAAGAGCCATATTGTGCCTGCTAATGTGTCATCTCCTTCCCGCTCATCAGCATCTGGCTGCGAACATCGTTCAGCATCTGTTCTTTCATAAACCTCTGAGCGAGGGGTCTAGAATACCATTGCATCACTTACCCAGTCCCCAGGGAGGATACCAGGTTACGTGGGGGCTTTTCCTTTGGAAAGAGCATAAAGGAGATGTGTCCTCCCCACACCTCATGTCTGTGGTTTCTGACTGGTGCTGCAGCCTCTCTGATGAGCTGCAGCCTGGGCACTGATCCCCAGGCAGGTCTGCAGTGGGGAGTCCTTGGAGCATCCCGTGAATGGCTCTGAGACCCCCGGCTCTATCATGTAACCTTTTCCTTTCTTTTTATTTTTGAGACAGTCTCACTTTGTTGCTCTTGGTAGAGTGCTGAGGCATCATATAGCTCACAGCAACTCAAACTCCAGGGCTTAAGTGATTCTCTTGCCTCAGCCTCCCAAGTAGCTGGGACTATAGGTGCCTACCACAAGGCCCAGCTATTTTTAGAGATGAGGTCTCATTCTGGCTCAGGCTCGTCTTGAACCCATGAGTTCAGGCAATCCACCCGCCTTGGCCTCCCAAATGCTAGGATTACAGGCATGAACCATCGCGCCCGGCCAAGCTTTTCCTTTCTTACTAGGAGAGCTGAGGGTTCCCAGCCCCCTCCCACCTGCACCTCCCCTTGCTAGCCTTGCTGGGCCCCTTTCAAGAGGTGCCACCACCCTGAGGGAGAGGAGCAAGTGTCTCCAGTAAATCTCTCTCCTGAAGTCCTGTGTTTAGGTGTGCTTTTGGCAAATGTGCCAATTACAATAGATTTAGGGGCTGCTAGACACCCTGACCCTTATTTAGGGTCTAGGTTGAGAACCCTAGTGTGGAACAGATAAAGGGGGGAGGAAGGGCAGCACGTGCCAAGCCCCTGTCACCTTATAGAGTGTCTGAACTACAAAGACCTTGAGGATCAACCAAGCTACTTGTCTCAGTCTCCAGATGGGAAGACTGAAGTGTAGGAAGTCGGTGTCACATGAAACAGTCTACAGATTTAATCAAGACCCAGTTTCCCTTTCACTAAGGGCTAGTGCTATGGGAGTCAGAACAGAGCTCTTGTCCAGTGTATAATTTAAAGCATCATCCTGGGCAAGTCAGGTCTCTCCCCCTCAGCCTCAGTTTCCCTATCTGAACAAGGAGGAGGTAATCTCTAAATCCTTCCTTAGTGTGAGCAGCACTTTTCTGTGGCCAGGGCTGGGTCTCCACACAGGGGGAGTGCTGAGGAGATTTGGGGGATCACCTTCTAGACCTTGCCCAAATCAGGAATGCTGCTCTTCACAGCCTGGACTGCCTTTTGTATTTTGGGGGTGTATGTGTATGCACATTTTCCTGGAGAGGGCAACTTTAAACTCATCAGATCCCCCACCCCCCATGCACAGGCAAGTGCACATACACAGGATGTGAACCTGTGAGGATGGGGCCCCCAATTTAAATCTAAACTAGATGCAGCCACCCCCAAGACCACCTAAGAAAAGCAGTAACACATTCTCACACATGAAACTAGGCTTTCCACGATTTCCCAAATCTTTTCAGAACACCAAAGTAACATCAAAATACAGATTTCCTTACCCTCCAGTCTTTGTTGCATGAATATGGGTTGAAATTCCAGCCCTAGAGAGCGGGCACTGGGGACTGTCCTGTGTAATGATGGAGAAACACCACCCCCCAGTGGCCAGTCCCCAATGTTCCGCTCTCTACACTTCTCGGCCAGAAAGCAGGGTGCTTCTCTGTATGGGTACCACCTTCGGATGGGGAACATGGAGGCGGTGGGAGGGGGGGTAGACAGAGACCCTTGGTGGGACCTTCCCTTGAGATTTAGTCCTCAGGAACAGGTTTCTCAGGGGAATGATGCCTTCTCTAGCACTGAGGGCCAAGAGAGCAGCTGGCAGGTGCGCAGGACAGATGGACGCCAGGTAGGGGAGGGTGTTAGGAGAGGGATGTTAAAGGAGAGGGTGGTGTTGGTGGTGGCTGTGTTGCCATCGTTACCTGGCAGGCTTCTGCTCAAAGCATGCACGTCCTCACATTTGGGGCAGATGGGACTTCGTTGGATTAATCTGCCACCTCCAGGTTTGTTTTCCTGTGTCTCCTGTGTAAACATCTACATACTGGGCACCACTTTCGTGCCAGGCATGACACTAAGGGATTCATGGGCGCTATTTCATTTATGCTCCAAATAGCTTTTGCAAAAGTACTATTTCTTATCCCCCTTTTAGAGAGGAAGAGCCAATGGCTCAGACAAGATAGAGGATAAGTGAGCATGAGGGTCCCCCAGCCAGGAAGGACCAGGCCAAGACTTGAAACCGGCTACTGACTCCAAATCCTCAGTCAGTTCTTTATCCTCTACTAACCAATGGGGCAACGCTTAGGGATCACAAAATTACACTGTGAGAACCTTAGAAATGGAGGCTAGGAATGGAGAAAGGACTCGCCCTGGGTCACAGAGTTCTGGGCCATGCCTGAGTCCCTCCATTCCCTTCTTCCCCCAGCCTGCAGTGCCCACCTCAGCCTGAAGCAGACACCACGCATCCTGAGATGCCCCCAGCTCTGTCACTGCCCTTTTCTGTCTCAAGATCCTGACCCTGGCTCAGCGCCTGTGACTCAAGTGGCTAAGGTGCCAGCCACATACACCTAAGGTGGAGGGTTCGAATCCAGCCCGGGCCTGCCAAACAACAATGATGGCTGCAACCAAAAAATAGCCAGGTGTTGTGGTGGGCGCCTGTGGTCCCAGCTACTTGGGAGGCGGAGGCAAGTGACTCGCTTGAGCCCAGGAGTTGGAGGTTGCCACAGCACTCTACCCAGGGTGATAGCTTGAGGCTCTGTCTCAAAAAAAAAAAAGATCCTGACCCTCTGTGGGCTGAGTGTAAAGGGAGCCTGCTCCCAAACACGTGCCCACACATGTTCACTAACATGCACCTGTGTGCATACACATCTACAAACACACATACTTGCACATGCACAAACAAGCATAAGGGGCTGCAGCACACATGTGACAGGCGCACTCGCATAGATGCGTGTATGCATACATATCCTTATTTAAGGATACAGGTAGCCTTAGCTATGTAACAGCATGGTTAGGAGATTGGACTCTGAAGCAGGACTGCCTGGATCTGAATCCTTGCTCTCCCACTTACTAGCTGTGTGACCTTGAGCATACTACTTAGTTTTTTAGTGCCTCAATTTCCTCATCTGAAAAATGGGAATAATAATAATCCATACCCCATACTGTTAGGAGAATTACATAAAATGCTTAGAACAGGCCTGCACTTAGTGTTACTTTCCGTATATACACTCACAGACTCACATACACACCCATGTGCATGGACATGAGGTGTGCACACATCCACCCCCATCCACCCCCACCCCCGGGGGACTTACAGGAGGAGTGTCTTGCCCCCGCTGTCTTCCGGCCAGGCCACCACACACTTGGTGGCACCCTCGTCCACCTTGATGGTGGAGTAGAAGCACTGGGGGAAGGCGAGGGCCAAGGCCACAATCCAGATGCCAGCAATAACTGCTTTGGTGCCGGTTGCCGAGAGCCGTGGCTGGAAGGGGTGGACGATGGCCATGTACCTGTGAGCAGAGGACAGTGTGAATGGCAGGCACCCTCCCACCAGGCTGGCCCCCTGACTCGTCCAACTCTCCCCCAGCCCCAGGCCCACACTCCAGCCCCTTCCCTGTCCTGCTGCTGAGAGAAATCTCCTTTGGTGCGTGGGTATTTGGGGGGCAGGGAGAGGACCAGACACAAAGGGAGGCACTTCAGGGGGCTTAGGCCACCCCTAAGTCTCAAGCAAAGATGAGCTGAGCTGAGCAGAAAGCCCAGTCCACAGCCATTGTCATTTCAGAGTCCCTCATTCCAGGGTCTTTGGATGCCCAGATGTCTGAGTCTCACCTGACCTACAGGGAGCCAACCTGGCTGGTGAGTCTTCTGCAGCCACACAGCATGCTAGAGCCCAGAACCCAGCCCAGGCACCTCAGCCACACACAGAAGTCTTCTTGGGGCAGGACTGAGTCTGACATTAGCCTGAAACTCAGCCCTGAGCAGTGAGAAAATAATTGACTCTATTATAATATAGTGGCCCTATTATAAAATATAGTCAGGTGGTAACCACATGCCATATTAAAATTGTCCCTTCATATAATCTACCTGGAATAGGAAAATCCTTGCAGTGAAAGAAAGACATCAAAATAAAGATCAACTCCAGTGAAGAACATTCCAGAAGGTCCCTAAAACACACCCGCTCTTCTTTCACCGTCCTGAACAACCCTTCTAGTGCAAAGTCTCGCCTTGTGTCTAACCTTAACTCCCACCTGCTTGGTTCGGTTCCACAGACCCCATGTCCTCTGGATACATAGTTTTGGATCATGGCCAGGTCTAGGTGGCTATTCCTTGGGTTTTCCCCAAATTTGCTGCACAACACGGGCACAGCACCCCCCGCATATGAGGCCCAGCAAAGTGAGATGGCTCCCCCGGCTCCCCTGGTCAGTGTCCCCGAGGCCCCTCTTGCCTGTCAGCGGCGATGGCAGTCATGGAGTAGATGCTAACAAACATGGCTGTGATGGGGAAGAGGTTCTGGAAGTAGCAGAAGGCACGGCCAAAATACCAGATGTTGTGGCTGGCGTAGACAAAGTTGAAGGCAGCATTGAAAGCAGCCATGCAGAGGTCCGCCAGAGCCAGGTTGACAATGAAGTAGTTGGTGACCGTGCGCATCCTCTGATGGGCCAGGATGATCCAGATGACCGTGGCATTGCCCGTCACAGCTACCAGTACCAGAGCCAGGTAGGCTATGGCCCAGAGTGCCAGCTGCCAGCTGGACATGGAGAAGGTTGTGATGCCTGTGGTGTTAGTCTCAAGGACAGATGAGCTGTTGGCATCAGGACAGCCCCCCATGGCTACCTCTGGCTCTGGAACAAGCGACTCCTCCTGGCTTTGTTATAGAAGAGGAATCTCCTTTGGTGTGTGGGTATTCGGGGAGCAGGAAGAGGAGCAGACACAAAGGGAGGTACTTCAGCTGGCCAACGTCACCCCTAAGTCTCAAGCAAAGACAATCTAGGCTGAGCACAAAGCCCAGCCTAGACCCATTGTCATTTCAGAGTCTCTCATTCCAGCCAGACTTCTTGAATGTCACATGGAAATCTAGAACTCAAATCCCAGTGTCAGAGCAGGAAATATCCTTTTAAATCATTGGTTCAATCCCTTCCCTGAAGAGATGGAAGACTGAGATTTCAAGAGAGGAAACCTGTGACCAGCCCAGGTTACTCAGTAAGTTGGTGGACAAGTCAGGACTCGAACCCAGGTCCCTCCTAATGCAGCTCAGGAAACATTCCAGATCAGAGGAATATGCAGTGGGAGTCTTTGGATTTCATGCGTCGACTGTACAGCAGCTGTCTCTCCAGGTTTCGGGGCGCAGGTTGGGCTGGGGGCTGGGATGTGGTCACGACTCTGCCAGCTGCCAGCCCTGGGCTGCTGCTTGGACGCTGCTCTCCCGTGCCTGGCAGGCGAGGGCCTTGGCAGAGTGCTGCCTACTCATGAGGCGGGGTTTAGGCTCCCGCCCCTCATCCCACCCCTGCTTGGATGGCTCAGCCTTGTGTCTTGAAAGATTTAGCACTGGCTGCAGAGGCCGGGAGAGACCCAGGGAAATGGGGCTGGCACGCAGGGCACAGTCTTTGGCGGGTGTTTACTTTCAGCTCGGGGCAAGAGCTACATCTAAAAAGTGATTCTGAGTGCACTGAGTTTGAGCTTGGCTCGATGACTCCAGGCAAATCTCTTAAACTTTCTGAGCTCTGGCTACCCAATCTGAAAAATAACAACAGTGCACATCTCACAGAACATTTGTGAATTTTAAATGAAATAATGTACATATATTTAGCACAGAGGCTGGCACATAAAAACCATGACAGGATTTGTGGTCCTAAGGGAGTATCCCCCATCACCAAACAGCTCGGGGCTCTGTGGGAGGGAGAAGACAGAACACAGAGCTGCTTTTATTCTTTCTTTCTCTTCCTTCCTTCCTTCCTTCCTTCCTTCCTCCCTCCCTCCCTTCCTCCACTCCCTTCCTTTTTTCCCTACTTCCCTCTCTCTCCTCTCTCTTCTCTTTCATTTCTTCTTTTTTCTTTCTTCTTTTCTTGACTGAGAAAGGGTTTTGCTCTGTTGCCTGAGCTGGAGTGCAGTGGTGTTATCATAGCTCACTGTAAATTCCAACTTCTGGGCTCAATTGATCCTCCTGCCTCAACCTCCCAAATAGCTGGGTGCATGCTGTCGCTCTAGCTAACTTTTTCACCTTTAGTAGAGATGGGGGTCTTGCTATATTGCCCAGGCTGGTCTCAAATTCCTGAACTCAGTGATTCACCTGTCTCAGCCTCCCAAAGTGCTGGGATTACAGGTGAGCCACTGTGCTTGACAAAGAACCCGAAGAATGTCTAGTGAGTTTGCAGGTGCGTTGGTGCTGCTGGGCCAGGGACTTCACTTGAAGAACCACCATCTCACAAGAGTGGGGCTTTGCTACCTCTCCTGTGAACCCTGGAAGGCCACATTTTTAACCCATAAGAAGCTACTCTAGCTTTGCCCAAAGATGGTCACTGGCGTGTGCATGTGTGTGAACTGTGCTGTTGTTTCCAAGTGACTTTATGTGTGTGGCTGATGTGTGTAAGCTCACAGGCACCACGAATCCATGCACACCTGTGTGTGGACCCTGAAGGCAAGGGAGTTTAGGGGGGCCATGCCTCATTAAGGCAGAGGAGGGCTCTCATTTACCAGCAAACCCTGGAGCAGTGATCTCCAGCCTCCCAGGACTCTGCCTGGAACAGCCTGGATTTCGTACGGCTGTGCCCCCCTCATGCCAGCTGCTCATCTATTTCTCCCCCGGTGCATCATTTCCCAGCACATGGCCTCCGCCTCCCTGGCTGAGCTGGAAAAGACCTTTAAAGGTCTCCAGTGTTGAAAAGATTATGTCACCCGTGGAATCCAAAATAGAAGCAATGCTAAACTGTAACTGTCAGGGAACTTAAATATATACCGAAATCAAAAGAATTTCTTTCTAGGTTTTTCTGACTGTGAAACTCCTGGATAAGTTGATCAATGTTCAACATTGAAATTATATCTACTTTTTGGTGTGCCTTCTGCACTGATGTGCTAGGTCTAGTGGGAATCCCACCCTTGCCCTTGGAAAGGGAGCATTTCCTGAGCCCCTACCCCTGCTGTAGGTGCATGTGCTGGTGGGCCCTGGGACTCTTGCCCTCCCACAGCCAGCTCTGGACAGAACCAGCTCCAGCCCTGGCCCAGCTGTGGGCAGAGACCTTTCTCCTCTCTGGAGCAGGCCACCATTATTTGTTTGAACCTTGGTCTTTTCTGAAGGGTATCTGATCTCTTGGTGGTGGCAGCAGCAGCAGTACTCCAGGGCTGTTCCTGTCTCTTTGGCTGGCATCCTAGATGGCGAGATATGTGGAAATCAGAATATAAACACAAGACAACCTTCTCTTCTTGTTGTCCTGGCTGTCTACTCCCAGGCAGCTGAAATTTGTTGAGCTTTAGCTACAAACACAGTTGCAGGGCTGGGACCTGTGAGACGGTGTCACCAGTCATAGAAGCCCAGAATAGTACAAGCTCCCTGCCACCACCCCCAACATCCTGCCACCTCCACTGTATATGTAATGGAGATTATATTCTGGAGCTATTAAATCTGAGTTTTTATTTCCTGCTTAAATCATAGGCCCTTGCAGCTTGCCAGCTATGGGCCAGGAAGCTTGTAGCCTCATAGAAGGAGAGGGTGGGGGCCACCCAGGACAAAGAGGTTAGTGCTCAGAGCTCACCCTCTGAGTCCATAGGTGGACAAAGGTCTTGAAGGCCAGTTTTTATTATAGAGAAAGAAATATTCTAAATTCCTCTAGCTCCTATTGACACATCAAAACTGGAGGGTTTGCTCATCAGAGTTTCACCCAGTCAGGCAGGAAACGGAGGGGAAAGGCTGCCCACTGGCTGTGGCCGGGATGGCTGAGCTGATGGTGCAGGTTGGTACCTCCAGGAAGCGGATGCTGCTTCAGAGTCCTGCACGCAGGCTGTTTACAGGGGAGCTGCCCCTGGAGCCAACCCCTGGGAGGACAGGGAAAGAAGCAAAAGTGGATGGACGAAGACGTGAAGCTGCAAGGCCAGCCCCACAGCAGCCTCGGATGGCCCTGTGTTGGGCAAAGTAGCCAAGCCTTTTTTTTTTTGAGACAGAGCCTCAAGCTGTCTCCCTGGGTAGAGTGCTGTGACATCACAGCTCACAGCAACCTCCAACTCCTGGGCTCAAGCGAGTCTCCTGCTTCCTCCTCCCAAGTAGCTGGGACCACAGGCACCTGCCACAATGCCTGGCTATTTTTTTTGGTTGCAGCCGTCATTGTTGTTTGGTGGGCCCAGGCTGGACTCAAACCCACTACCTTAGGTGTATGTGGCCGGCGCCTTACCACTTGAGCCATAGGTGCCGAGACAGTAGCCAAGCCTTTGTACCTCCACAGGAGTCACTGCACATGGGCCATCCCAAGGAGGGGCATGACTGTTGCCAGGGAAGCTCTCTGCTGCTGAGGCCTGCAGGGGATGATAGCTGAACTGGGACAGCACGCCCAGCTGCTTGAGGGGATCTGGGAAGTGCAGGACGGCATCCATGCTGGCTGAACAGCAGCACCCCCTTCAGATGGGGTGTGTGCTTGTGAGTGCACCTTGCCGCTCAGTGGTGCTGTGACCTGCAGGCTAGAGGCTTGGAGCCTCTGGTTGGGAGCAGGATTATTTTTTAGGGAGTTTGGAGGAGAAAATAGGAGGAGCTGTGGGTTGTGAAGGGAGTGGGTGGGAGGCAAGGGGACTACAGGGTTGGGTACCCCCTCAACAGTGTCTGGAGACACCTTTAGAAGTTGCCTGACCATGTGTCTGCCCTGGGGGCTGTTCTGGGTCCTGGCTCAGTAGGTCACGTACAGCATTGAGGGACATTAGTGCTATGGGTCGCTTCATTGCCAAAGTGGTGCCAGGATGTGCCAGATGGTGCCAGGAAGTGGCAGGGGACAACATGGGCAATGCCCTACACTTTTTATCCAGAGAATTGAAGCCAGTTTAAAGGACTGTCCTTCATTCTGGGCCTATGGACTTTCTGCTTTGGGAGTTCAAATGTCATGAAATAATGGTGATGGCAGATGGTAACTGCTAACCTGGGTTTGCTTCTTTAAAATTCCTTACTTGGTGGAAACCCCCAAGAAGGGAAGGGCATGGCCAGGGTCCCTGCTCATTGCGGGGGGAACCACATCCCTGATGACTTCCCTCTGTCCTGCACAGCCTCTACTGATCTCCGGAGGCCCATCAGAGTCACTTCCAAGGTCACCTTCCTGTCATACCAGTGGGGTGCCCTCAGGGCCTGGATAGTGTCTTGTTTACGTCCAATACCTAGGAGAGTGACCAGCACTTTGTCAGTGTCCTATACATGTTGGCCAATTGAAAATGATTTATAAAATTAAACTCTGACTTGAGCAAGGGATGGGAAACCATATATATACACACACATTTATCTTATAGATATATGTTTATATAACACAGATCAGTGATTTTCAACCAGTGTGCCATGGCACACTGGTGAGCCATGAGAGGCTCTTGGGTGTGCTATGAAAAAATTTTAAAGATCATTAACTAAATTATCATGGAAGAAGTTCAAAGCACAGTAAACATATTCTTTTTTTAAACTCTTTCTTGATCAACATAATTTAATTGTGCAGTGGAAGTTTAACTACAGGTTCAAGTGTGCCATGAGATTTAAGAAGATGGAAAAACCCTGTTATAGACACTGATGTGAAAGTTTAAACTAATGGGACTAGCACTAATGGTGGGATTTCAGGCACCTTTGAGCGGGCAGAGCAGAACATGTCTGCCCATTG